CAAAGCTGGAAACCTCGTCAAGAATCAATAATAGAATTGTCCGTTATTTTCAGGCATTCGGATTATCCTCAGAAACTACTTGAATTTTCCATCTTTTCGGAGTTATCGTTAGCATCACTATGGGAGTCTTGGTTATGTCCAGCCTCTTCATGCTCGGGATCATCACCACTTGGTTATCACCTTTGGGGCTTGAGTTTGGTTCACGATTATCCCCGGAATTATCAGAATAAAAAAAAGGAGTTGATGTAGAATCCATCATTTTATTATTAGAAATATCTACAGGATTTTTGTTTTAGTTTATTATCATAATACTCCGTATTGGTCGGCGAAGTCATAGCTCAAGTTGTAGCGTTATTTTCATCATTCCCACCTATTAACATGAGTATGATTACAAAAATTAACGGCAAATAAAAACCCCAAGGGACCCGGATAAATATAATCCTAAATCTATTCCAGTTTGTAGGGGGGAGGATGGGACGGTGAGGGAGGGGAAGAGCATGGAGACGAGGTAGGAGAGTTGGGCGGGTTGGCTGAGCTCGCGTTCGGGCGTTACCATGGTAAGGAGGCGCCGGATGAGCAGGGCGGCGATGTGCCGGTAGTGGGCGATGCGACGTTGGCGCGCGGCCGGGGATGTTGAGGACCGTCGGGGGGCGGAGGGGAAGGAGAGTTTTGGGAAAGTGACGACGGCAGTGCCGGTGTTGGGCGCGAACTCGTGGATTAGTACTCGCTCGAGGAGCCGCTCTGCCTCGGCTTCCTCGTAAGCAACCCGTTTTTGACATCGCTCCGCGAGTCGGAGGATGGAAGGTTTCTGCAGTGCCACTGGCAGTTTGTGGTTCTGGCGCATGTACCGAACAGAATTCCTCATCGTTAACGTCCGGTCGGCGTTGGTGTGGTCCTCAAACCAGGGGATCTTGTTCTCGAGACAAGTGAGCGATCAGCCGATCTTTGCTGAAACTAAGGAGCGGCCGATAAACCATGACTCCGCCGTCCTCCAACTCCAACGGTACCAGGCGAGGGGCACGCTTGCTACCCGTGGCGATGCCGTCGTAGTCATCCAGGTACGCAGTGCCAAGGTCAGTTGTCAAGCCCGCTTCGATCTCCCTAGCGATGACAGCGGGGTCAACTTCATTCCTCAGACTTCTCTTCAATTTTTTCCGCTCTCGAGCATTCGGGGCAATGTTGTAGAAGGGGTCCCGACTCCGCTGGTCGTCAACAAAACCGCTCTGGTACACGCCGTGTAGGTCGTAACATTCCGGTATGTCAACCGCCGGACGCATTCCCTGCAGCCCCCGATACCCATGACCAGAGAGCAGCCTCATCATGACGGTTTCGTACTGGTCATCCTCGTGGTGGGCGGTGAAGAGGGTGGCCATCTGCCCAACCTTGCAGAACGTGCCGAGTCGGCGGTAGCGGAGGTAACGGGCGAGAGTTTCGATGTTGGGCACATCGTTGGGCTTGGTGCCCTCTGGCAATACCTCGTCCCAGCGGATCCTCACAACGTGCGACTTCACGCCCAACTTCCTAGTCGCCACGGCAACATTGTCGGCCTCGATAGCGCTGCCCTCGCGCAAATCATGGTTGACGATGACACCGCACGGGCTGCTGATAGAGTGGTCAACAACCTTGAACCACTGGTCCGTCTGTCTGATCTTAGAACACAGGTAGGCTAGGGCCATGGAGTCAACGCCACCACTAATTGCCAGGGCTGTACAAGGTCAGCATCAACATGGGGATGAATATGAACATAAGGGGTATAATCACCAATCGGGCGTTGAGCGCGCGACCGCGCTTGTGGGAAACGGGGGACGCATGTGGCCGCCAGGGCGTCAAGGAACTCATGGGGAGTGATTGCCCGCGCGCCGCGGTGCAGAACGGGCGGTATCGTGGTCATCCTTTCCATCACAGGACAGCTTCAAGACCATCAATGAGACGTGGATGTGGAAAAGTGAAGAGAACTGCGAAAGTTCAGTGGGTCGATGGGATACCAACTGTAAGGTACAGTACATACAGTAATGTACCTCGTGGCCCAGGCGCGGCGCACCAGGGAACAGTTAGCGAGCCAAGACCTGTCCATGACCTCACAAGCCTTTGGTCCCTGCCGGGATCGGCGGCTCAGCTCGGCCTAAAAAATCTCCAGAATATCGCAACACCACACCTCAACACCACACCCAAATACTCGAGTCAGCTCGACACCACCATGACCCCATAACTGCTATTTCGCGGTTACTAAACAACCCCAGCCCTCCCGCCAGCCATTGGCCCACCACCGTCGTGCCAATCTTATCCACCAACTCAGCCAAACCACGACCCATATCCTCGACCAGTTTCCTCCCGTCCTCAACAAAGCCACTATTAGTCACACATATCCCACCCACCCAGAAACAACTACCTCCATAACGAACCACCACAATCCAACCGCATCACCACCCCGCCTGCCAAAGAAATAAAAAGAAAACAGACAAGAGAAAAAAACCATGGCCACAACCCCCGCACCGCCACCCTTCCAAACCGCGCTCCTCGCCGGCGCCCTCGCCGGCACCACCGTCGACCTCTCCCTCTTCCCACTCGACACGCTCAAAACCCGGCTCCAATCCTCCGCCGGCTTTTTCGCCTCTGGCGGTTTCCGGGGCATTTACCGCGGGGTCGGCTCGGCCGTCGTCGGTTCGGCCCCCGGCGCCGCCTTCTTCTTCTGCACCTACGAAGCGAGCAAATCCTTCCTAGCCTCGTCGCCCACCTTCTCCCCCTCCTCGCACCACGGCAGCACGCCCCAACACCAAGCCCTCACCCACATGCTCGCCGCCTCCGCCGGCGAGATTGCCGCGTGCGCGGTGCGCGTGCCGACCGAGGTGGTCAAGCAGCGGGCGCAGGCCGGGCAGCACGGGGGCTCGTCGCTGCGGTCGCTGCGGCATATTTTGGGGCAGCGGGGGAGCGTCGGGGTGGTCGGGGTGTGGCGGGAGCTGTATCGCGGGTGGGGGATTACGGTGATGCGCGAGGTGCCGTTTACGATCCTGCAGTTTCCGCTGTGGGAGGCACTGAAGGGGTGGGGGCGGGAGAGGAAGGTCAGGGTGGGGAGGGGGTTGTTTGGGGATGTGAGCGTGCATCCGGTTCATGTTGTTGGTGGGGGGGGTGTTGGGGTGGTTGGGGGGAGGTCAGCGCGGCCGAGTCGGCGCTGTATGGGAGTATATCGGGCGGGGTGGCGGCGGCGGTGACGACGCCGTTGGATGTGCTCAAGACGAGGGTCATGCTGAGCTCGCAGCGCGAGAGCATGGCGAGCATAGTGCGGACGATACTGAGGGAGAACGGGGTCCGGCCGTTCTTTGCGGGCATCGGGCCGAGGGTCATGTGGATTAGTGTTGGCGGCGCGATATTCTTGGGCAGCTACCAGTGGGCGGTAAACGCGCTGGAACAAAGCAGGCTGGTAATATGAGAGTCGGTTCCTGTGCCGGATCCCGAGCGGTTTGACATTCACATGACGGGAGATCACCAAGGCGCGTCCGACTTGCTTCGACAGCCCAGCAGAATTGCCGGAGACTATTTAAGCCGTCATATGTACAATACATAACAAGACTAATACCCCGAATAGACACAAACGCCGGCGGCTTGCTAACACCACCTTACTCGGCGCCAACGAGCAGACCATCCTCCACGGCTCCTTGATGTCAGCCCACACTATGCAGCCGGCGCCGCCGCTTCGGACTCGTCCGTCGCCACTTCCACCTCCACGGGAGGCGGCATGGGGATCTCCTTCCGGCCGTTGGCCTTGTAGTGCAGGACGATATCGTTGCCGCCTCTCCAGGCGTGCGTCCGCAGGGTCGCCAGCGTCATTTTGAGCGGCAGCAACTGAAAAGAGCATTAGTCTCTGAACCAACGCTACAAGAGCAGGCTCAACGCCCACGAGCCAAGCTTACCTGGTCATTACAATACAGCTCCAAATACTCCTCCGGCTTCAGCGCATCCGGCGCGGGCTCCTCACCCTCAGGGACTGGATCAATGCGCTCAGCAACATAAGCGAGGATCTTCTTGACGCGCAGCATGCGGTTGGCGTTCAGGCGGTTGTTGCCGTCAGTCGACACGATGGGGGGCAGGGTCTCCTTCCACGGATGCAGCACGAACGAGATCTTAACCGGGTCCTTGGGCGGCAGCGTGTTGAGCAGGAGCACGTCGCCCAGCCACTGCGGCGCGCGCTTCTCGATGACGTCGGCGTCGGCGCCGACCGACGCCACCGTGCCGCGGTACATCTCGGCCGAGCCGCCCGACGTCTCCTCTTGAATGATGACCTTGGTGCCGGCGGGCAGCTTGAGGACCGGCGTGTCGTTGGCCAGACTTGGGGTGATCTTGGACTCGACGATCTGGTCCGGGTTTTCGGCCTGCTGCTTCTCGTAATCGTTGTGCATCTTCTGGACCACGCCTAGGAAGTTGTCGTCGAACTCCTTTTCGTGGTTCGATGATGACTCTGACTCCTCGGCTCTCTCGTCGAGTACCGCCGGTTTCTCGGCTGTTGTCGTCGATAGGGACCGCCCTAGCTTCTTCGTGCCAAAGGACATATTCATGCGGAACTTCTTGCTAAACATAGTGGCGGCCGGTTTTCCGTTCTCTTTGTCTTTTTCCTTGTCCTTGTCTTTGGCATCCTTTTCCTTGCCGCCGTTCTCACCAGGAGTTTTGGCTGCCTTCTCCTCAGCCGGCGGAGCCTCAGTGGCAGGTGTCTGTGCTGGCTTGGGGGCTCCATCCGGGCTCTGGATTGCATCTGAAAAGTAGTCTTCCCTGTCCTGCGACGGTCTGCTGACTTGGGACGACCGCTTGTCGACGAGGGGGCTAAGAGGGGACGTGAACCCTTCGAATGCCGGTGGTCCTGGGGAACCAGGAGTGGCCAACCCGATTCCGAAACCCGGTGTCATGGGAGGGTACTGTGATCCGTGGGCTCGCGGTGTCGCCGAAGATAGGTCCGCCGGACCCCAGCCCGGGTTGGAGGGAATGGATATTGCTAGCGATGGCGCCGTCCTACCCGCTGCTATCCTCTTGGTCGCGCCTTGGTTTATTTTCTGCCTAAACGTCTCATCCCGCCGGATTTCTTCGTCGATGAGATTGGCGAATAGGTACCTAAGCACCCATTTTCCGAGGTTGACTACAAATGTCAGCATTTCAGCATAGCTAAACCCGACTGGAACGTACTTCTTTGGTCTTCGCGGAATTCTACGGGCTCCTCAAGAACCAACTCGTCGGCGTACATCTCGGCGTCGAAGCAGTTGTAGGGCTCCAACACGACCGTCAAATTCCCTGAACTAATGTCGATCGAGCACCAGGGAGCAACGGCCTCCCTAGTGTTAACCTCGGGCTCCACATCTTCGAGGTGACGCTTCCCAAAGCTTTTGACAGGACGGCACTGCGGAAGCAGTTAGCACCCAGGATGCCCCATACGACGGGTGTCCATCTCACCTGGATCAGATCCCACATCAAAACATCGCCCGCGGTATCCAAGGTCAGGACCCGTCGCCTGTCGTTCAACAACCTGTGCTTAACCAAACCAAACTGCCCCTCTATGGTCTCTTCTGGCACATGGTGGATCGGCTCAACAATGCTGACAGCATGCTCCGTGAGCTCCGAGACACTCCGAGTCAGCCCCGGGAGGGAAACCTCATCGTCTCGGCCGATGACTAGCTGGAAAGGCGCCGTATTCGATATCCGAAGAATAGACTTGGCAGGGATCGTGGGTCCTGTAGAATCGCTTGGCGGTGCTACGACAGCGACGGTGTCCTTGCTCTGTACCGTCACCAACGATGCTCGGTGCTGCTTGGGGGCCTCTGAAAACCGCACGCTGGCGCTCGTGTCCACGTCCTTCCACCGGTTGATCGACGCCGTGGCCGTCGCCGTCCAGATGCTGTCGTCCCAGGTCACCATCTTGCTAACGCCATCATTCTCCTTCGCAACAGCCACGGACAAGCCCTTGTCCATGTCGCCCCCTGTGTCACAGACGTCCGTCTTGACCACCAGCCCGGATCGGTCACTGCTGTAGAAGATGTCGAGGCCTGGGTCATCCGAGAAAAGGGCCCATACGCTATGGTCGTGCATTGTCAGGGTATGCATACAACGGCCAGCTGCAACACTCCAAACCTTGACGGTCTGATCTGAGCTCGCTGACAAAACCATATCCCCGGACTCGCTGATCAGAATGGCGCGGATTGTGTCGGTGTGGCCGACAAACTTGGTGATACGCTGACCCGACCTTGGGTCCCACAGCCGCACAATGCTCTCGGGACCACCGTTGGCCAAAATGTTGTGGGTGACGCCCAGAGCGTACACGCTACCCTTCTGTTCCACTTCCTCGCCACGGACATCGATCTCGAGCGTCTGGCCAGCTCCTGATAGGTCCCAGAGAGAAATCTTCCGGTCCAGCCCTCCCGAGGCTACCCAGGGGGTGGACTGGCTTGGCGTGGCGACGCACTTGACATAGTCGGCGTGCTGACCGATGGTGACGGGCTCTAGGACGTCGCTAGCAAGAGGTCGCCAGGGCCTTGACCAGGAGGTCTGAGGAGGCCGACACCCAGTGGTGCTGTACTTCTGGGCAAGGGCAATGTCGTTGATCCAGTGGGTGTGTGCTTGAGTCTGTGCACGAAATCGGGTAATGGCCCTTTGGCCTGCTGTTGGTTTGGCTGGTATCAACAACGGCGGAGTGCCCACCGGTGTTAGCATGAACGTTGTTATTCAGGTCCCAGGCACAGATGACACCGTCTCGTCCACCAGAGTAACTGCAGGGTGTCAGTAAAGTTGGCAAAGTTATAAGATGATAAATAACTCCAGCGTGACCTAACTCACAGGATGGCATTGTCGCGATCGACGGCTAAGCCATTGACCCCCAGCCGATGGCCGCCGGGTGAGGAATTAGGGGCTTCAAGGACTGGAAAAAAACAGGTAGGTTAACAACAACACAATGCCAGATCTGTGATTTGGTGTCCCACACAACTCGGTTGGTATAGTGGTGCGCCTAAATGCCCGAGTCTAATACACAGGCATCTCTTCTCCCGAACGCGACCTGTTGCTGCGGGAGCACGTGTGTGGGTTTGGTTGAGGAGGCCAAGACAGCCAATGCAATGCACAACAAGAAAAAGAGAAAATAACCAACCATAGCTTATCCTTTGGCGCGCCTTCTTGGCCATGTTTAAAATGGGCAATTAAGTGTGAGACGGTCATACAAGGGCAGAGTGAATGGTGAGAGCGCCGAGTCTTGTGCGAACCGCCGAGAGTTCCGAACTTGAGACCAAGACCGTGGTGCAAGGTTATGGAGCGATAGGGGACTCGGCCTGAGATGAAAATCCGAACCAATCCATGCGGATTCCTTGAAAAGAGGGATTAAGGCAATTAAAAGAACAAACGATGGAGGGTTTTTGGTGCTAACTTGGAGAGGTGGAAGGTGCAGCCAAACACCAACACCATGGCCGTTGGGGAGCTGTCGCCAAGAATCCCCAGAGGAGCAGAATGCGACCCTGAACATCTTGGCACTTGGGAAACCCACAACCTTCTTAGGGTCCTTCGAACGGCGCCTTCAGGGGGGATGAACGGGCTGAAGCGGGGTAGATTGGGGCAGCCGCGGGGTCCTCTGGCGCCGGAATTCCAGAAACATGCTAACAAGGCCCCACAAAATCCGACTTCACTTCCTCGCTCACCGCAATGGCAGTCTGAATGTCCATGTTCTGAAAGGATCGTACAGAGATTGCTGCCGAAAGCAAAGCTGCTTTTTCTGGTGTGTAGCCAGTGTCATCACAATTATACTAGGAAGTTGGTGTATGCTGTAATCTGAACTCGGACAACAACCAAGTCTACATGTACCAGACTTCCTTGCTTACAACGCAGTCAACGTTATGGCTTCATTGTGCAACTCAACAATATATCGAGGTGCCATGAAAGCTAGCCCCCACCCTCGCCGCTTTTGGCTTCAGCAGCGAATCAACGATTATGGCTATTGGGCCTTCCATTTCTCATCTGCCTCATCCGGCAAGGCTTCTGGGAAAGGGTGGCTCTCTAGCCAACCGTCTACCGTCTCCTTCTTGGCGTGGCGCTCATAGAATTCATTCAGAGAGCGGTTCAAGTCTATCTTGTGTGAAAATGACATTTTCAAAGACAACATGGATCAGGATTTACTCACCCTCCAGAGACATGCCGTGTGATGGTTGCAAGGAGAACCGGGATATGTACTCGTTAATCAAGATGAGGTGACTAGGAACAAGGGTTCCTGGCCGATAAGTGTTAATTAACTCTGTAAACAGGTATTGCCCCGAGCGACGGGAACTCAGCCTTACCTTTGGGGACGGTGTACAGAGAGGGGGTTTCAATATCTTCGCCTTCGTCCTGGCGATCGAGAACTTCGTCAAAATATCTGCGGACTAACTCCTGCATCATGAAAGTATTTGGAAACATAACCGCTCCATTCGACGCTACCAATTGGTTCGATGTTAATGGTGTACGTCGGTCGGTGGCCCTAGGACAACCAATGGTCTCAATACTGACTAGATGCCGCGTTCACGGTTGGATAAACGAGACCATCCTTAGCCACCGTCACAGCCTCCTCGAACAACTCTTGAGACCGATGATCGTACCCCTTGTGGTCGAAAAGAAGCACCTTTTTTTGAGGGGAATAGTAGCATAGCGTGGCAGGGAACGAGGAATAGATTGCTTTTACTGAAAACTGGCGGCCAGACGAACAAGATGATCGAGCCGTTCGAGGGACCTTTGAAGTCTTTAATATCTGGCTACAGAAGCCCCTAGTTGAATTCAACGGGTGACGAATCATCTTGTCAGCTTGGTGCGTGGGCGGGTAGTGGTTGAAGATCAGTTGCAATGGAAGTTGCAGAAAAAAAGCCGGGGCCGGGCGTGGCCCCCAACACGCGTCGCGGTATTATATTGTGTAACCTGATTGGCCAAGTACTGTGGTAAGGGATGAGAGAATCAACTCCACTTCTGCCGAATCGAGAGAGAACTTCATGTCATCGGCCTTACCCTGCAAAGCACACCTGTAAGCGTCATTGGTCATGTCGGCCATCACTGTGTTTAGGAGATTCCCCAAGGAACTCTTCCGTGTTAACAACGGCCGTACAGTTTGGGTACGTGCCCGGACGCCAAACCGCCATGTCTACGACATCATCACTTCTGGCAACGGCCTAGTCGAACCAAAAGCCCTGGACCTATCGACTTACATGGGTAAGTTTACCAAGAGTGTTAGGTACTACCCAAGTAGATCCATTTTTTGAATCGCAGCTCTTGATTTTAGCACCCAACGGAGCATCCATGCGCCCCAACAGTCGGTACCAACAATCCTTGGTGTCCTGGCGGTTCCGTGGAGACGATGTCGTCGTGTACTCGATCCCCAAAGGTGAGACCTCTCATTCACCAGCGCTACTATGCCACATGTGTCCCCTAGCACCTAAATTTTCATCCTAACAATTATTGAAAGACACCAATCTTCCCGACGACCTTCTCCTTGTGCACGAGCGGTCAGACCATTACTCCCTACAGCCAGCTGTCAGAATGCCTCTCGACAGTACGTATTCCCATATCCCAAGACACTACCAGATCCAAGCCAACCTTGAGCTTCCAGAGCTAAATGTTAGGATAACACAATTCTTGAGCTCGGCTGGAAAGGTGTACACCCGAGAGGAATGGCTCAAAACATATCCGACGGCTACCGAAACTTCATGAGAGACAATGGTAATTAGAGGTGATGCTGGGAAGTGCGGCTATACATAATCTCAATACATTAGCATACATAACCAATATCCCAGAGAACGCCTTCGTCGCTCCCAATGCCAACCAAGACTCAGATAAAAGACGCGTAAATCCAGGCAAGGCGTTGCGAAATTGCCTATATCAGCGACGACACTTCCGTCGGGCGCGGGACTCGTTTCTGGTTGCTTGCAAGCGAGTACCTAGGTGACAAGCACCCAAGTCCTAGTAGACTAGAACCGACAGTAGGGGTAGACCTCCCGCGATGGCGGCTCGATGATCAGCCCAGCGACGTACAGATCCTCCCTCTTGCCGAACTGCACGACCCTCTCTCGGACGGGGTCGCGGTCTCGCTCGCCGGCAGCAGCACACGAAATCGACCGCTCAAAATCAACCAGCATCACCCTGCGCGTCTCCTCGCACCACAAGACATTCGGCCCCCGCACATCCATGTGCACCACCCCCAAACCATGCACCCTCCTTAGCAGCGGCAACAATTGGCCGTCCAGCGCAGCCTGGTCCATCCCCAGCGCAGCCTGGTCCATTCCCAGCGCGGCCTTGCTGCTGAGCATCTCTCTCTCTCTCTATGACAGGAAGAGCATGTAGACGACCTGCATGCTCGTAGTTCGTAGTCATACGGGCTGGGCGCAGGTGGAGCTCGGCTCAGAAAAGACGGGAACATCACTACTCTGCAAGGGCTGTAGGCGCTCGTACATGCGCGCCTCGCGCTCGCAAGGTGCTCGATCGACTTCCGGGT